GAAAACTGAAAAGAAATCGGATATTAGAAAGTTAATAAAACAGTAATCTACCACTATGCCTGCAGCTGCCCAAATCCACCTGTTCAAACAATTGCAGTATTTTATAGAATGCTGTGGTTCTGATGTGTGCATCTATAGTGGTGCAAAATATCTGTATCAATCGCAGAAGAAAGTTAAAACCTTTATTTCAGCATTGTTGGCTGAAAGACCGTTACTCCAAAAGCAACTAGAAATGTTTGCAAAACCATTTGAAAAAAAAAAGAACCTGATTTGTCCTGCTTTTTAATAAAACTAAAACGTACCTCTTCGCCTGCAAAAACAGGCAATGCAAGCTACGATAAAATTTCAAACTTCTGCTTCTGGATGTATACTAATTCCAGGTAATAACCAGATTAGTTACTGGCTTTGTGTAGAGCTGAATACAAAAACATGAAATACCAGTTCTGTCCGGAGGAACAGGCTCATATTGCAGGAAACTGTTGTGGGAAATTAAGAGTATGATTGAAGATATGGCTGACCCAAGACACACATGCATGCTCAACTATTACAGCATCTCAAGGCATCTTAAGATACGTTTTAAGACACAACTAGACATTGGTCCTAAGATGTCTTGGAAATATTTCTATGTCAAGACATCTTAAGGTAAAATATCAGTCCATTATTCCTTGTTGACATACATTTTTCATCAGCTGACTCAATAAAGAATGACAAACGGTATGACACACTGTATCTCACAACATAGGAAAAGCCATACTAAATATTGTATAAAGTATAGTAATTCATAATAATGTGAACATGCTTTATGTTTTAAATATGTATATATTAACTTACCTGTGGATCGGTGTGTTTTTTCTACATGGTGGGGATCATTTTCAGTTAAAACGCTACATTTTGGGGACTGACCATCCTTGTGGGGACCTCTGGCAGGTCTCCTTGGATAACAGTTTTAAAATTAGGTGTGAATAGGAATAAATGCACAACTCCACTACTTTATGAATTTAAGGCAGCTCTTTTGTTTCCTGTCTTTTATTTCTGGATGATCTGAATAAACCAGAATAATCTGGCCATGGTTATTGAGGTCAAGCATACATGGAGTACTCAGTTCATCCAGCAGAAAATAACAGGAAAACAAAAGAGCTGCCCTGTGTTTTGGTTAGGTATGTAACTGTAATGGTTAGGTGTAGGATAAGGGTTGGATTCAAGCTGCAGAACTCGCCTACGAATGAATAGATGTGAATGGAATGTCCCCACTGGAATAGTGAAACCTGACCGTGTGTGTGTCTGTGTTTTGGGGGGGATAAGGTTACTCTTTATGAGAGTGTAGAAATGGCTTACAGTTCAAGTACAATTTGTTCCAGGGATTCTGAATGATTATTTTTTTTCCCCCTCAAACAATTGGCAGTACTGCTCATTGGTCATCTGGCTCACAGAAGCCTTGCGGTGGAGGAACATGAAAGTATCAGATGCTGTGATGGCTGCTGTTGGAATTTTTTTTTTTTTCCTCCTTCATTTTTCTATGATTTTCTGTGTTGCTGCTAGAAGATGGTGCCCTTAAATAAGAGCAACAGGATACAGAATATATCTTGTGAAACTATATAACCTAACTCCTGTTATAACAAAATGAACAGAAGTGTTATAAAAATATTTTATCTCAAAATCAGCTCATTTGTGGACATAGCCCCTTTAAACCTGTAAAGCAAAGCTCTGTATTTACACCTTTAAGCTTTCACTCCCTGGTTATTTCCTGAGAAGAGATAAGACAACTTTTTAATTATCACTTCATAACTTATATGTATTAAATAACCATGAATTATGAAAGCAGATTTTGAAATAAATTGTAATCTTTTTCAGAAAGGAGAAGTTGCTTAGGGTTACAGAAGGCAGCTGTTACCAACCAGGCTTGCTTCTTGCTTCAGTTTATTTATAGCGCCAATTCACAACACATGTCATCTCAAGGCACTTTATAATTCACCAGATCATACAGTCAAATTGATTTAAAGTTTCCTATCTAAGGAAAACCAGTTGATTGCATCGACTCATTGACTCGAAGGTAACCCTATACTCGTGTATAAGGTTACTCTTTATCAGAGTGTAGAAATGGCTTACAATTCGGGTGGAAAAACTATTATAAAATTCCAGTGTGCCACGTCATCACATCATACACGTTTGTAAACGAGGAGACCTCCCTTGTTGCAGCCATATTAAACTATTACACAGTATCCCAGGTAAAAGACAGAAAACTTGCTGCTAAGAATGATCGACTCTGTCTGTGTCCCCATTCTACTCCTAAATCTCTGTAATGTACATAATTAACATGATAACTGTACAGTATATCCTGATAGAAGAGCTATCCTAATTAGATAATCTACTTGGAAAAACATTAGTTTTGACTTGAGACAGGGAGGTATTATTAGGGTTTAACAGACTTACACATCATGAATAAAAATAATCCTTACAAACCCACCCTGTGTTAATGACAGTGAGAGGCAACCAGTGAAAATCACCACCATATGGGCTATCATCTTTGGTAAGGATAATTATAGAAGAACCTGGCCATGTAAACCTCATAGCATAATGCTTACTACTAGGTTAGGTTATATAGTTTTATTAGAGATATTTTTGTATCTCCTAGCTAAATGTGTTCTAACCAGATAATCCGCTGTTGAAAGAAAAACTTTTTTTTTCCAGCAGCAGCCATCCCTGACACCCTTATGTTCTTTCACCACAAATGCTTCTGGGAGCCAGATGACAACCTAGGGATCGGGACAAAATGTCCGCTGCCGCCAAAGAACACTACGGTCAGTTGTTTAAAAAATAAATAAATATCAAGAAATCATTCACAATGCCAGAAACAAATTGTACTGAAATTGTAACCCATTTCTGTGCTCTCATACAGAGCAACCTCACCGAACACACACACATAAACTTGTCTCACTGTCTTTGCGGGGTCTTTCCATTGAGTTCCATTCATTTCGACAGCCTAACCTTAACAATTATGGCATCTTACCTAACCCCAACTCTAACCTAAACTCAATTTACACCTTTGTCTTGAAAGTGACCCTGAACGAAAAAACAGCAATTCCAGTCATGGGCTCCAGGCATAAGCAATCGCTCCACACGACGTGCCATTTTTTCAGAAAATGGGAACCATAATGCATTAAAAAAAGAAAACACACAACACTTTGTATTTCCATCCATATTAAGTCTGTACACAGACTTACCTTTATTTGAGTTATTGAATTTATGTCTAAGCCTGACATTTACCCAGATGTGTAAAGTAACAAAGTACAAATACTTTGTTACCTTACTTAAGTAGAAATTTTGGCTATCTATGCTTTACTGGAATAATAATTTTCTGGAAAACCTTCTACCTCTACTCCTTAAATTTTTTTGCAATTATCCCTACTTTTTAATCCTTATACTTAAATCATCAAAATATTTATATAATTCGTTTTATCCAGACAATTAATTTCTTTTTGGTTGGACCAATTTGTTGTCCGCCACTTATCAAAATAAATAGTTTTTCAAGACGAGGCACAGTTACATTTGATTCTGTTACTGTTAGTTATGAAACTAAGAAACTTAAATATAATTGTAGAAGAAAATGTCCTTTATTAGGGCAGGGCAGTACTTAATTTTTAGTAGTTTTAAAAATGGCACTTTTACAGTTTTAATTGAGTATAAAGCTGAAGTTGATACTTTTTAAATTTATACTTCTACCGGAGTAATAAACATTAATACTTTTGATGACTCTGCATTTCCCCAAACCATTTCCAGTATATTCCTAACCTTAAACTAAAGTTAATTCACAGCATACCTATAAACTGACTCCTTAACATTAAAAATGGAAGTCCACCAAATTCGACCTGGGCTTTGGTTCCAACAAGGCATGTTGGTCCTCAGAAGGCTAGTAAATATACCAAAACTGTCCTGAAAAGGTTCCATAAACAAGTAGACCAGAAACCCATGACATTACCAAGACATCCTAACAGTCTGGGTATGAAGTGAGATTTAAATGTATTTCTGATTTTAACGAATAGAACATCCTCTAAAAAATTTTTCCTCTCCTTTTTCTGGCACAGAAAACATAAATAATCCGGTTTATTCTAAATAATCTAGAACAGGAAAACATTAATCTAATTAGCTTTAACTTCTGTAGAAGAAGTTTGTATGTGTGACGGTTTAAAACAGATTGTCACATATCTAAAATAATCTTCCTCTCCTTCTTCTGGTTTAGAAAACATAAATAATCCTGGTCATCCCAAATAATCTAGAACAGGAAAACATTAATCTAATTAGCTTTAAATTCTATTGAAGAAGTTTTTATGTGTGACGGTTTAAAACAGATTGTCACATAACAAAAATAATCTTCCTCTCCTTCTACTGGTGCAGAAAAATATAAATAATCCTCTTTATCCCAAATAATCTAGAACTGGAAAACATTCTGTTGAAGAAGTTTTTATGTGAGACGGTTTGAAACAGATTGTCACATATTTAAAATAATCTTCCTCTCCTTCTTCTGGCATAGAAAACATAAATAATCCTGTTTATCCTAAATAATCTAGAAGAGGAAAACAATAATCTGATTAGCTTTAAATTCCATTGAAGAAGTTTTTATGTGTGACGGTTTAAAACAGATTGTCACATTTCTAAAATAATCTGACTATTTATTTTGATCAGTGTTAAGTAGAATCCTTGGGAAAATATGATAGGTACTCTGGAACATTCCGCTATCAGTATGTATGTAATCCCTCATATAGATACTGATAACACCCTTTATTGACACAAACTACAGTTTAAGCCCAATTGACTATGTTGAAACCTTGGAACAAGCAACCCTAAGAACATATATGTACCTTGCCTGTTGAGCACATGGAAAACGTGTATAGGTTGTTTTACAGCCAGAAGAGGGGGAGGTTGGGTAAAGTTCAGGGGGCGTTTAGTTGTGTTTTTTTTTTTTTTTTTTTTCTTCTCCCAGTTGGAGGAGCCCTTATAACCCTCGGGATCATGAGACTGTAATACAAATCACCATGATTGGATACATCCTCTTTACCGTTGCGGCATTTTTGCCGCTATTGATTTATTTGCGAAATCCATATTTTCTGGCAGATCTAAATTACGCAATCGTTGCCATTCGCATCGGATGGCGATTAAGTAAAATCAAAAAGAAGTTTTTCAGCATCTTAGATGCTTTCCTGGATAAAGTGAATAAAGATCCAGAAAAGACTTTTGTGATCTTCGAGGAGCGCTCCTATAGCTACGGATGGGCTGACAGGGAGAGCAACAGAATAGCCAGGGCTCTGTCAGCGCATGCCGGGCTGAAGGAGGGGGACACAGCCGCGCTCTTCCTGGCCAATGAGCCGCACTTTATTTGGGTCTGGCTGGCTCTGGCCAAACTGGGCTGTGTGGCGTCTCTCCTCAACTGCAACATCAGGTCCAAGTCTCTGCTGCACTGCTTCTCCTGCTGCGATGCCAAGGTCCTCATTCTCGGTGCTGGTAAGTTGGATGCATTGAACCTTTCCAAGAGCAGTAAACTTTAAAATATACAATTAGCTTTTTTCTTGTTGGCTCCCTTTTTTTTTTTGTTATTTTTATTATCGCATATCTTAAATGGCATCTTGCTTTAACTCCGACCTTTGTACTTTTCATAAGCTACTGGAACCAGAATTCCCCTGAAGGAGTTTTCCCAAGGGATAAATAAAGTTGAGCCTAGTCTGAGTCGATGTAAGGTGTTTTCTCGTTAAAAATACCCACCTGTTGAATGCTGGTGGAGATTTTAATTCATCCGGGTCATAGTCATTGCAAAAAAGTTAAAAAACAATCCACTGGACGTTTTGCTTCCCATCCAGGAAGCTTTTTTCAATTCAAAATGTAATTTTTTTTTAATTGAAAAATGTAAAAATTGAATTGAATCCATTCAAAATGTATATATATATATTTTTTGCTTTAAGGCTTCCTGGATGGGAAGCGAAATGTCTTCAAACTTGGAAACAAAGTGGTATTACTGTTGTAGTTTGTTTATTTATGCTGATGTTATGACAAATACGTAACTATGTCCCCAACTTATTGCCAAAATATAGATATATCAGATTTTCCGCCTACCCCACTTGAAATCCTGAATTGTGGGAACTATTCTTACAATATATTTTCTTTTTTCATCTCTGATAAGATATAGATATTACAGCTTTTAGTATTGATAGATACTGATATCGACCTGCTACAATATCAGCATTAAATCATACAGGTCCTTCTTAAAATATTAGCATATAGTGATAAAGTTCATTATTTTCCATAATGTAATGATAAAACTTGAACATTCATATATTTTAGATTCATTGCACACTAACTGAAATATTTAAGGTCTTTTGTTGTCTTAATGCGGATGCTTTTGGCCTACAGCACTTGAAAACCCCAAATTTCTATCTGAGAAAATTAGCACATCATGAAAAGGGTCTCTAAATGAGCTATGAAGTAATTATTTGAATCAAAAAATTAACTCTAAACACCTGCAAAATATTCCTGAGGCCTTTAAAAATCCCAGCCTGGTTCATCACTCAAAACCCAAATCATGGGTAAGACTGCAGACCTGACTGCTGTCCAGAAAGCAATAATTAACAGCCTCAAGCAAGAGGGTATGACACAGAAAGATATTTCTGAATGAATAGACTGTTCCCAGAGTGCTGTATCAAGGCACCTCAGTGGGAAGTCTGTGGGAAGGAAAAAGTGTGTGCACAACGAGAAGAGGTGACCGGACCCTGAGGAAGATTGTGGAGAAGGGCCGATTCCAGACTTTGGGGGGACCTGCAGAAGCAGTGGACTGAGTCTGGGGTAGAAACATCCAGAGCCACCGTGCACAGGCGTGTGCAGGAAATGGGCTACAGGCGCCGCATTCCCCAGGAATGGGCAAGAGAAGCAGCACTGGACTGTTGCTCAGTGGTCCAGAGTATTTTTTCAGATGAAAGCAAATTTTGCATTTCATTTGGAAATCAAGGTGCCAGAGTCTGGAGGAAGACTGGGGAGAAGGAAATGCCAAAATGCCAGAAGTCCAGTGTCAATTACCCACAGTCAGTGATGGTCTGTGGTGCCATGTCAGCTGCTGGTGTTGGTCCACTGTGTTTTATCAAGGGTGTTTTACCATGGTATCACTGTGCTCAATCGGCCTGTTAACACTCCTGACCTGAACCCCATAGAGAATCTGTGGGATATGGTGAAGAGAAAGTTGAGAGACGCAAGACCCAACACAGGCTCCATGCATTGAAGCAGTAATTTCTGCAAAAGTATTCCCGACCAAGTATCGAGTGCATAACTGTACATAATTATTTGAAGGTTGACTTTTTTGTATTAAAAACACTTTTCTTTTATTGGTTGGATGAAATATACTAATTTTGTGAGACTGGAATTTTGAGTTTTCATGAGCTGTATCCCCAAATCATCCGTATTAAGACAACAAAAGACCTGAAATATTTCAGTTAGTGTGCAATGAATCTAATATATATGAATGGTCAAGTTTTATCATTACATTATGGAAAATAATGAACTTTATCACAATATGCTAATATTTTCAGAAGGACCTGTACATACTTTTATGAATGAATACATTGCGTGGAATGTTACAAAAGGATTGATCAAGTGATAACTAAGAAAGCACTTAACAACTACTTATTCACCAAAGTGTTACATAAACTTTAAACAAAAGTGGATAGAAGCAAAACAAGTGTTTGTATGAGCTTTCTAAGATGCAAAATTTTAGAGGAAACCTAATATATTTCAATATAAATTTTTTTGGCTGATATCGGATCAATTTCTAATATCAGACTGGGACAGCCCTAGCATGTTCTCTTTATACTTTAGTTGTTTCTGTCATTACTAGTAGCACTGTTACTTAAAAGAAAGAACCCAAGCCTTTCTGCTACGAGCTTACCTGCTCAGGTCCATCCAGGTACGTTAGCGTCCTCCCACAGTCCAAAAACATGGCTATTAGGTTAATTAGTGACTCTAAATTGGACTTAGATTTGTGTGCATGTTTTCCCTGTGATGGGCTCCATGGTGATCCAGGGTGTACCCTGCCTTTCCCCTCTAGACATCTGGAAATAGAAATTAGCCTCTTGTGACCTCAACACACAAGCATCAGAAGATGGATGGGCTGTTGTTATAAAAGGTTTGTCATCCACTGCATGAAACTCATTATCAGATTTAATAGTTCGACCAATCATGCAATGGCAGGGACAATAAATGGTCTTATTATTTTATTGTTATATTATAATGTAATTGTTTCTTAAAGTTCATTGCCTTTTCTCTAAACTTGTGTCATTTACCTTGGTGGTTGCTCTCCTGGGTGGTTCCTGGGTTCAAACCTCAGCCTAAGAGCTTTCTGCTTGGTGTTTACATGCACCGGGCATTCTGGGTACTCTAGCTCCCTCCCATGGTCTCAAAACACATGTTCTAGGTTAATTGTGACTCTAAATTAGATTAGATGTAGATGGTTGGATTATTGTTAGAAGAAGTCTAAAATCCACTGGAGGACTTATCTGCTTTTACATAGTGGACAAACATTACTGGACTTAATTTTTTGATCAATCATGCCAAGGCAAAAACAATAAATGGTCTTATTATTTTAGTGTTAATACATCATCATTTTATTGCTTCTTAAATTTCATTCCCTTTTTTAAAAAGCAGGTTTATTTACTTTGGTGGTTCCTCTCATGATTAGTAAGGTGGCCCAGTTTGTAGCACTGTTATTTTGCAGCAAGGAGGACCTGGGTTCAAGTTCCAACTTAGGGTCTCTCTGCATAGCGTCTGAATGCACTTGTCACTCCAGGTACTATGGATTCCTCCCACAGTCCAGAACCGTTCGATAAATGGGTGACTCTGAATTGCATTGTGTGTGTGTACGTGGTTGTGTGCCTTTGTGTCTTCCTGTAGCGGACTGGTGACCTATCCGGGTCAACCCCACCTTTCCCCCCTAGACTGCTGGAGATAGGCATTACCTCTAAGTCATGTTGACAGTAAAGCATTAGAAGATGGATGGGTTATTGTCTTAGACAGTTTGACAGCCATTGCTTCATGCAGCGCCATAATGTGGGGCCCCAATGTGAACCTATAATAATATCTTCTTTTTCTAACTTTCTCAGACTTGAAAGAAGCTGTGGAAGAAATTTTGCCTGGTCTGAAAGAGTTGGGCATCCGTGTGTTTGTCCTCAGCAATCACAGCGATATTGAAGGTATTGAAAGCCTCTCTGATAAGATTGAGAAGGCCTCAGATCAGCCTCTGTCACCCCAGCTGAGGGCCAACACCAACCTCAAAAGTCCTGCAGCGTACATCTACACATCAGGAACCACAGGTAATCAGCCAGTCTCATCTAACCTTGACCTCATAATTCTCTCACTGTGTCTTGCTTGCTGTGGCCTTGAACAACACATAAAACATTTCCAATGACAATGTTATCTTGTAGGACTTCCCAAGGCAGCCGTAGTTAACCACGAGAGGGTATGGGTGGCATCTTCTCTCCTGTCTTTTGCTGGTGTTCACTCCAGTGATGTTCTCTATTTATACCTCCCTCTCTACCACTCCTCTGGTTTTCTGATGGGACTCTGCGGAGCCATCGACAAAGGTATTCTATGACAGACTTCCATGATAGATATTACCTGGACAGAACTGACAATCTGCCAGTTCTGGGAAAAGTCTAGAGGGCCCCCTGCTCCAGGGCTCTCTGCTTACTGTGTTTATTGAATAACAAGTAAATAAACAGCAGACTGTGTGTGTGGGGGGGTGGGGGTGGGGGTGTTGGGTTATCTGGAGTGTCCATGCCTGCCATTTTGAAAACAAGCTGAGTTTAGTGATAAAACATGACTTTTGGAAGAGAGTGGGCTTATTTATTATTTGTTAAGGCAACCAACCTCATAAATCACCAAGCTGTGAGTTGGATATTGTCTGTGATGCTCTGTTGTAGGAATTTGCTTAATCATCTTTGGGTCATAAAGGCGAAATTCCTGTTTCTGTTCATCAAAACGTGGAGGTTGAATCAATACCGGTTCAAACCAATGGCTTTGGATTCAGTCGAGTGGTGTGTTGGCCTTGGGGCTGTTGCGTTGCACCTGCCCTTGAATAGCTGCCAGATGCAAGAACATACTCAATAATCACAAAAGACTGTACAGGCCTTAAAATATTCCCTTTTCTTATTCCTTTTTTTTTTTAAATTAGCCTTCACAGTCTATATACAGCAATTTCCCCCCAATTACCTTGTGTGCAGTGCAGAAAAAAGAAAATGACACAAACACCTGCTGAGTGGCCCCATTTTCTGTCTCGCCTAGTATAAATTACACTGGTACTACAGACAGCCATGGTAACCAGTGAGGTCCAGAGCTTTAACCCCTTATAGACAGGTGAAGCTTGTTGGCTTCATACCATTTCCAGTCTAAATAAGCATACAGAATTTATGCATGATGAAAATGTTAGTCCACTCATATGCTTCTGGAGTTAAGGAGACCATAAAATGTGCTTTTATATATCATTTAGGTACTTGGAGTGTGAACTAAACATGAACCATAAAAGAACAAGAGCAATGATGCACTGTGAGAGAGTGCAAACATTTGGATGATAAACTCAGTGACTTGCTAGTTAAGTTAAGATAAAAAAAACAGGCTTTTTCATCTAAGTTATGACCAACAAAATTCACATGTGTAACCAAAATTCTAAAAGATTTTGAATTTCAAGCATTTTAGCTTTACAATGAAATTAAGAAATAGAGATTAGTAAAATTACTTATATGTATAATTTGAGTATCACTGTAAAAAAAAAATCTCTATGCATTTATTTCCATTTTGCAAAATTAAATATAACAAAATGGGGGGGGGGTTTGCAAAAGAAGAAATCTGCACGGCCAAAAACTTTGCAATGTATATTGGGGAAAAATGCTGATGTCAATACAACCTTGTTGGTGGCTGTTGGATGTCAGGAGTGTTCAGGAGAAAGTTCAGGGCTGTTATGTTCAGTCCCAGTTTGTTACAGGTTAAACCAATAGAGAAAGATGACCTCAAGTAACAAGCAACCTAGTTGCTTTTTCTATTCAGTTTTCAAATGTGCAAACAGTTACTGAACCTTTAAGTAACTCTGGGTACCCTTTTTCCAGGTATCACCGTGGTTTTGAGACAGAAGTTTTCTGTTTCCAACTTCTGGAAAGACTGCAGAAAGCACAATGTGACCATTTTTCAGTACATTGGAGAGATCATGCGATACCTTTGCAACACACCAAAGGTAAACACCTAAATCTGGATGACAAAAGGGACAGAAAAAATGAAACATTTGAAATGCAAAGTCTTAGAAACCATAAACAGGCTTTTCCAAACATCTTGTAAATGTTTTGTCATTCACTTAATATCTAAAAAGGTTTGTGACCCAGTGTCTAGATAAATTCATCTATAATCATAATCTTATAAAGAATCATAATGTTTTATTAGTATATCAGTAGAATGTAAATAGTAGATTGATATAGTGTAAATAATGAAGTTAATACAGCATCTTTTATATAACACTTATTGATAATGAAAGTCATATTTAGGTACTACTAATGAATTCAGTGTATTTATAATAATAAAAGCAGAGTGACATTTATTTGAATATAGTCCAATTCGATTCTAGTTAATGATTATGATGAACTGGGGTCAAATGCGGGTTACTGTACAAACGGGTTTAAAGTTATCTGCATAAGGAAGCTGAGCTGATTGCGCTGAGCAGTGTTTCACTTTACAATAATTCCCTCTACCTGAGGATTGGGTGACGACAGTGTAGGTGCATGACCCAGGAAGAAACCTGCAGTAAAAACAGGCAAAAGTAAAAAACTGACCCAAATTTGCCTACCTCAACTTGAGAAGGTCATTGACCCCTTGATATATAGTGGCTTAGATGTGGTTAATTGCCTTTTTGAAAAATAGCTGGTATCATTTCTCTCTTACTAGCCATACACAGGTTTGATCACTACAAGACCCATAAAAGAAAAATATAGAACTACTCTCACCAAATGAAGTAGTATTAAAGAGCCCAAAAACCATCACATCATATCCTTATCTAAAAAAACAAAGGTAAAGAGATGAGAAACACACCTACTAACCATCAGTCAGGATAGTATCAAAGTAACTTCTAAGGATTTTGAAACAGTAATAAGAATGTAGGACTAATGGTCTTCCCATTTAGATAAAGACACTTAATGGAAAACCTGAGAGCACATTGATAACCTTAAATAGTATCTAAAGCTCCTCAGGCCTCACCCACCTGCCACAGTTTGAGTCAGTGTTCATGATTCAGCAGTATGAACAAGTTCCAAGATAAGAAATATGTGTTAAATGAACGCAGCATAACGTTTTTTCTCACATTCATCAAAAGAAAAAAAAATGTCTATGATGTTTAAAAGAAATGGGAAGCAGACTAACAGGATAAAATTGATATAAAAGAACCCAAATCAATCAAAATGTCCAGCGTTTATTTTGGGAACTCTACCTCTGAAAGGCAAAAAAATAAATAAAAGTA